GGGACGGGGCTGTGCCGCTCCTCAGGGGAATCGCCTCAGCCCCGCGGCCTTCCCCTCCCCTCCCCGCCGCCGGTGAGCCTCCTGGGGCCTGCTGCGCCCGGCGTCTGCGAGGGAGGGAGGGGACGGGGGAGGCCTGAGTGCGGCTGGACGTCGCTCAGCTTTGGCCAAACCGGGCCTCAGAACCGTGCGTCCACCTGCCTCCGCGAAGCTGAGAGACACGGGTAACAGCGGCCACCAACCCAGTGTCTGCAGCTGCTGTGTTAGTGGTTCGTCCCTGCCTAGTCCTCTCAGTATTTTTTCATGGACTTGATGAGTTTGTCTAATCCCTCTTTGAACCTGCTGATGCCCCACAGAACTTCACAAGGCGACAAGTTCCAGAAAGTCACTACCTGCTGCTTAAAAAAGCACTTTCTTGGTGGCTCTTTAACCCTCTCCTCATCAAGTGACCCTCAGCTCCAGCATTGCAGGATGTGGTGAACACCACCTCTGCGTTTACCTTATCTGTGGCCGGCATAGCATTTTAGGAACCACCAGTAAATTCCCCTTTGGCTCTGTCCTCTCCAGTTTGGAGAGTTCCAGTCTTTGGCCACTGTAAAGCAGGTGCTCCGTTCCCCAATTATTTCAGCTGTCCTCCTCGGTACCTTTTATAACACCACTGTGCCTTGCTCAAGGTGCAGAGACAAGGCTGCACGCAGTCCTCAAGGTGTGGGTGCACTGAGGTTTTCTACAAAATCCTTGTTTCCAGTGCCCGCCCTTACGGTGCTCCCGTTTCTTGGCTTTTTGGCTGCTGCTGCTCATGGAGCCACTGGAAAGCTCTCGGCAATGATTGCAGGACCTCCTCTGCGTTGCGAGGGCTGGTCCCAAGTCAAGCGTCATGTAAGCTTCTAACAGTTTGAGCATCCTTTAATCGCCACTCCTTGTGTTTAGCCATCTTTGTTTCCTGTTTACATGTCACATGCCACATTTTTCTGGGCTTCCCTACTTGCCTTGCAAAAGCCTCCTTAGCTTTCTCATGAAGTCATGCAGGGGGGAGGTTTGGGCCACCGTCTTATGTTTGTCTCAGACATTTTACCCAGGCTTCTAGTACAGTATTTTTTAAGCCTTCTGGGTGTTCATAGGCTTCTTGCTTTTGAACTGCTCATTTAGGGTTTGCAGGCATTTTTCCCCATTTTTGTATAGGTTGTTTTCTTAAAATTGAGGATCTGTCTGCTTTATTTGTCTTGCTCTCTTCTCACAATGTTAAGCTTAATTATATTGTGGTTGCTACTATGGAGCAGCTCACCCACTAGCAGCTCTTGAATTAGATCCTCTGCACTGCTGAAGATTAAATTCAGAATGGTGTTTTTTTTTTCTTGTGGTTTCTAAGGCCAGTTATTGTAGAAGGAAATCACTGATGGCATCCAGAAATGTTATCTCTACATTTCACCCACATTGACCCAGTCTGTATGTGGGTGGCTGAGCCCTCCCACTACACGTCCTAAATGTGCAGCTTCTCTAATCTCACTTAATGCAATTGTTGAAATGAATCAACACAGGGAAATGAGCAACCTTGCAGCTCAGCACAGCTAAGACTAACTCGTGTGAGGTTTTCGAGATCAAAATCAGCACCTGTATTGCCTGCAAAGTGCAGTTTGGTGACTTCTGGTATCACGTGGGCTGTGCAAGACACACTTTTAAATTAAACCCTGACCCGGCAGTGGGTTCTCATGGGTAAAAAGATCTGTAGCACCGAATTCCTCCCCATCAGATTACAGCCTGATACGCAGCTGCAACTGAGGCTAGCTGAAGTTTTCAAATCTTCTAGCAGACAGAGTGCATCATGTCATCCTGATGGGGAAGGAACAAAAGCATTCACCAGCTTATTTCGTAAGACGATGCCATTTCAGTTCAGTCGGTTACTTGCACAAAAACCAACTTGTCCTAAGTAGCATTTCAGAGGCTTATGCTTCGCAGCACCTTTTTTTTTTTTTTAAATTTCATAAGTATCAGTGTTACTCATGTAAAAAACGCCTGAGTAAAAGCAAATTTTAAACACCTAGAAAACTTTCTAAAATTCTGCTGTCCTGAAAGTAGCTCTGCTACTGAAGCCCACATCCTAGATGAAATAAGACGTATCTGATAAAAAATTGGCTATCGTTTGTCTATCGGATTGTCCATCGGGATTGCTGCAACTAATGCCTTCACATCCCCATGCGTCCGGTTCCTCTCCCTCTTTCCAGACTCAAACGCATACAAAGTTGCACTTCCCTTGTGCCCTTTCACAAAACTTACGTCCCCATCTGTTCGCCTTCAAGTCCCCATGCGTCCGGTTCCTCTCCTTCTTTCCAGACTCAAACGCATGCAAAGTTGCACTTCCCTCGTGCCCTTTCACAAAACTTACGTCCCCATCTGTTTAGCTTGGCAAGCAGGGCTATATGCTCATTCTGTAGCTGGTTTGGAACTACGTACGTGCTGGCCAGTAGCCACCTCTCGGAAGAGTGAGGAGCTCAACTGGGCCAGCTTTCGGGCACAGTCAGCACAGGAAATTATTTCTCTTTCTATCCAGACATGGAATTTTCCTGGAAGTTTTCACCATGGGTTATCATTGCAGCCTCCATCCTATCTCTGCTTTGTCAAATTTGGTGAAAATTAGCCTCAAGGTTCAAAAGTTATCAAGGGAAGGAGGAGGGGAACAGATGGACGAAAGAGGAGTTGACAGACAGCATGATCTCATAATCCCCGCTGGCATAGGAATTCAGGCTAGAAATATTTTAGGTCAGAACATTGTGCACTTAAACTTCTCATTTTGGAAGAACAAGCCTCTAATGCGAAGCAAATTTTCATTTGTTAAGACCATCAACTGGTTTTTAGGGCAGAGATTAAACAGCCTTCCCCTGCAAACATGCTACAAACAAGTCTTCAGAATTTCCTACAGCCTCTTTCCCCACCCAAACACAGCCCCATGTGCTTCAGTGTTTGCTTTTGCAGCTCCTTATGGGTCCTTATGTTTTTCTCTGATTCATTTTTTTCTTGGTTGTGCTCAGTCAAAATGTAATTAAAGGCTTACCTTCCCCTTTGTTTCCATACCTGTGTCCTGAACCGGAGGGGTTGCTTGGATAGCATATTGCCTTTGCAAGCCATTTGATGGTGGACTCCAGCAGATTAAGACATAGACGTTTCTGGAAGGATGTCTGCAAGCTCTGCTCTATTCCATCGACGCCATGTTGCATTTGTTCCACTGCAAAATCTGATGTCATTGTGCCTGATACCTCAGAGAGAAGCTATCATTACCCATTGGCCAAGGCTGTCAAAAACAGGCAAGGAGCGCAGTTGCCATCGTATAGGCACTGCAGCTGGCCAGTATAAACGCTCCCACTGGGATACATCTGTCACATGACAAACTCTTATAGAAATGTTTTGCTTATTACTGCTTTAGGGTTTTGGTTTGCTTTGTTAAAAAAACCCAAACAACAACAACAAAAAAACCTAGAGACAAGACATGGAATTAAGTTTTTAGCTGATGAACTGTAACAGTGTAGAAGCTTTTTCATTTTGCATCACACTGCACATCTGCTCCTAGCAGCAGCAGGATGTTAGAGGTCCCTGCTGCGGGTTTGCTGGAGGACCAACTGCTCCTCGGAAGCACCCTGTCCTGAAAGGCAATTCATTGCTTTAAGCAAATTTATATTCTGAATTAAGCACAGCTTTTGAAGTGCCATGTGAACTTACAGCGAAGTCAGAAGATGGAAGTTTGGCACCCGCTTGCTTTCCTACCCAAGCACACACATCTTCTCTCTAGAGGAACGGTAGATTTCATTCAGAGGCCTTGTACTCCCAGAAAAGCAGGTCAAAGGGATTGGTTTTATTCAGCTTTGTTGGATTTAATGCCATAAATAAAAAAGAAGCGCCTAAACGTTTGGCCTAACACTCCTAGTGTATTTAGACATATGATGCACAAGGTTATTTTTTTTTTTCTAGAAAATTGTTTATTCTTCCGACCCTATTCTGGGTTAAACCCCCACGTGGGGCTGATCAGCCAGGCTGTCCGCAAATGGGTTTTGGTCGTAAGAAACAGGACCTTTGTGTGGGAACGTGCACCAGGACTGCACAGGGCCTTGGCAAGGACCCTGAAGGACCAGCCCAATCCAGCTGGCTCCTCCCTAGTGGGGCAGTGGAGGCTTTGACAGAGCTGCCTCCTCAGCCTGGGGCGAAAGGAGATGGGCCTCCTACCAGCAGCAATCTCTGCTATGCCAAACCCAGCTCTTCTGGCAGCAGTCATGCCAGCCCTCCACTCCTCTGTCCCCCGCACCATAACCACACCTTTCCTGCATGCCACGGTCCTTAAAAACACCAGGTAAGTCACAGTTGCTAGAATAATAATAGTAATGGAGAACTTTGCCATTGAAACCACTTTAAACTACCTCTTTTAGAGGAAGCTGATGGTTATATCATCATTAATTTAATTACAATTTAAGGCTCTTTGCCATTTAAGTAGGCTTTGACAAAAATTTTTCATCCTGATCAAGCTTCCGGACTTTTAATCTTAAATTTGAAACATCCATCACTAGCGAAATGAGGAAACTTACTTTTCTTATAAACAAATCATAAGACATTACTGATGTCAGGAAAGGAGCTGTACAGGTCACAGGATTTACATAAATAGTGCCACCACATTTGTCATAATTCTGTTACCCCACGCAGTTCTGCCTTGTGCTGAGAAAAGTAGTGCTGTCCCAAAACACAGCGCTGCTAAATGTTTCTCACAGCTTTCTTCCTGTTGCAGATTAATCTGTAATAAGTTAGCGATGTGCTGGGTTGTGTTTTCTGCTTGTTCTGTTACAGTGGTAATTCCAAAGAAAAGCAACGGTTTACTGTGCTTTGCACATGAATATTTTTACTGATTCAGCAGCTCAGCTTGTTTGAATTGAACATAAACATACTGATAAGCTACTTACCATGGTTTCAACTTAAAAACTGCTATTTCTGTGTTTTTAAGACATCACTGTATTTAAGTGCAACACGCTTGACAAACTGAAATAAAACCCAGTGGATGCCGCACACTAGGGCTGAGAGCGTAACGATGCAGTTCGCAAAAGCATTTCAATTCTGCCCCTCCTCTCATCTCTCCTAGTAACAAACCAAAACGCCCTTTTTTTTTTTTTTGTCTGGCTGTACATCACTTGTGATGCGAGTTTCACATTTGACAAAATACACATGCAGAACTTGCGGGCTGCCTTTTCATGCTTTTTGTTTCCTATCTTGTGCAGAGCTGGAATGATTTCAAGTAGAATTACTTAGAGCAGACATTAACACATTTCAATTTACACTTTGTTTTACAGGTTGGTTTGCCGTTAGAAATGTAAAAGTGGAAATTTATACAGCACCTACGGTTAGAGAGAAACAATGTTAATTGACTATCGGGGTTACACTGGGCCAACACATGTAAAAGAACTTTAATTTAAGTAGCACTCCAACCTTCATACTGTAGTATTAATTTGAATTGCTAAAACCCAGTGAGCTCCCTCCGAAATCATCATTAAGCCTACCCGAAAAGATTAGCAAAGAGAAGAAACGCTATACACCAAAAACCAAATGATGAAGAATTTAAAAAAACCTGAAAACCACAACAAAAAGGTATAAAAATTTGTATTTATACTATGATGAGATAACGATACAACACAATACTCTGCGTGCACCGTGAGGTGCGTGCAGCTGAACCCACACAGTACAACGCACCTGGCAGACTCCGAACCCTTCCTTTGGCTCGGGCACAGAACCCGCTCGCTAACACCTTCAGGCAACAGTTTGACCCGTAAGCCACAGAAGGCTCTCTGTCACTGCCTCACCTGCACCAAAATGTAATCACTTAAAAACCTCTATCGCACAGACCCTGTCAATGACGTAAATCATCTGTATCCATGCTTTTATACCTCTCATGCAAAACGGCAGGCAGGAATTCTGCAACTGGAGCAACCTCACTCTGCTTTGCCGATGGGCGGGCGGCCGGCTGGCTGGCCAGGCCACCCCAGGCACCCTTTGCCGGGGGTAAGGTGCGAGGCTTTGGGCAGAAGAGACAGCCAGGGTGCCCAAACAGCTTCTGATCTTAGAATTCTCTTTCACAGAGCCCCTGCATTTTAATTCTAGGTAGTTAACGCAACACACTTGGATGTTTCTTTTGCAGCTACCAATTAACAACAGTGCATTTAGTCAGCCACTTAAGCAAATTGGCTCATTTCATTGCTGGTGAAATTAATTTCTGATGTGTTTGCCCCATTAGTATTTGTAGGGAGTACAGCTCTTCCTTAAAGAGTATCTAAAGGGATTCAATTCTCCTTCCACTGATTTTGGCCAGTGCGAGTTAGGGGATTAAATATCTTACCACACACCACCGAGGGCCTCTAATAGTTAAAACAAAATTAACAGATTTCTGAAAGAGTAATGTTATGCAGACATTCCTTTAGCAACACCGTCGTAAAATGAAATGTATCAAATTAATGTTACTTGATTAAAAGCTGCGATGTGGATCTTTTCAAAAATGTGTTTCTTTTCCACAGAGCTGATCTGCAAGGATGAAAAATTGCATTGCTAAGTACCAGTCTGCTAAAATGGTGAAATAATCGCTTGTCGCAGCAGCGGAGGCTGCTGTAAATACCTCCCAGGAAAGCAGAAGCACGCCCTGCGGCTAAGCACACCCGGGCTGGGAACCGAGCAGGTCTGCAGGCCGAGCTCACGCCTGTGCAACTTCACCTCTTTCCATTTCCCAGTTTTCTTCTGGCATTTGAGTTCAGCTACGGAAATGGGTTATGCGGAGTCCACAGTCGGATGCTCAGAATACTGGTATTTATCGCAGTAATTTAGTTGTGACTCAATAGAAGTAACTTTTTTTCTTTTAAAACAAAATGATGTTAGGCTGCATGTGGTGTAGCTAAACCCATGCTCAAGAAAAGTAACACCATTTAAGGTGTTAGAATTAAGTCTTAATTCTTTAAGTTAGATGCGAGCTGCATTAGGTTTTGATTCTTTTCCCATCCCAAATCTTACACTAAGAAATTAGGATAGAAACTAATCTATAAACACCAGATGAAAAACTGTCCTTCTCAGGGATTTTGGGTGGCCTTTTTGTTTCTGCCTTAATCCAATAAAACTCACTCTGAACTGAGTTTAGGTTTTGCACAAGCCCATAGCAATGTGTTGCAGTTTCTACTGGCCGAACCCCGCTCTCTTTTGAAGACAAATCGATCAGCTGCAGCGGGCCTGGGGGGTGCAAGTCGGGCAGAGAGAGGACGGGCGTGATGGAGGAGTCGTCCTCCGAACTGCCATGGAGAATCTGCAGAAAAAGGCGAACAATTTTAGGCTGGTTTTTTTTATGCCTCTCTCCTGTGATGAGAGGGTGCGCTCGTGGGGCTAGGGGAAGAGCTAACCCAGGAGCAGCAACAAGGCGCCTCTCCTCCGACACCTGCGTGCCGCAAGGGAAAGCCCTTCCTTCCTTCTCCCACCAGGAAACAGGCCAAACCTCTGCGTCTCCATAAAAAGAACTTCTGGATGACTTCATCTCCCCAGAGCCTTTTCCACAGAGGAAAAGACCTAGCAGCCCTGTAATCTTGTCCCTACTACTCCTTCTTTTCCTATGGGGTAATTGCAGAGGAAATAGATTAACCGAGCACCTGCTAAAAGCACAGTCACGACACAGAACGGCAGAGCTGCCGAGGCGGTGGTAGGATTTAATCTCGCAGCAAGCAGTACGCTTTTAGCAGTCACGTTGTGATTACAGGTACAGTTGCACGCGCACAGACGGACGCATGCATGCATGCACACACGGAGCACACACACAAATATCCAGCTTTAAAAAAAAAAAAAAAAAAAAAAGAGTAATAAAAATAGAGCACTGTTTGCATCCCGAGGTGCTACGGCCACAGGCAGCGCTGCGCTGGATGCTGCAGGTGAACCGTGTCCCTAAAGGAACGCCAGCGCCCCGACTGTCACCCAAACCAGCCGCCAACCCCCACGCTTGCAGCGGCTCTGCCATCGCCTTCAGCTGGGCTGCGCCTGGCTCAGCTAGAGAAAGGGGGCTGTGCCTCAAAATACCACCTTAAACTGGGCTGTACCTCAGGGAGAATGACACAGGCAGTACGGTGTCAATTTTCCTTACCGCCGTAATAGCCCCCAGCTGAAATAACTGAAAAAGTAAAAACAAATAAACCCTTTTTATTTCCACTCAAGATTATTCGAGTAATTTTTATTGAAAATATAAGATCTACAAAGCCATGGATACCCAGCGTGGAAGAACTCATTAAGTTAGCACATTCATCTTTAAAAGGAAAATTTCAGGTTGACCTAAGGTACAATAATGTTCAATTTAAAATCTCGTTTTTCCTTCTGTAAGTTTCAAATCTCTTTTCATTAGGAGGTTCTGTGCAAGAGCTGCTTGTCATGAAAGGAAACACTTTACAATTCATGAATGTGTTCATTATATAATAAATGAACAGCAACAATATACTAGCCTTTTTTTTTTTTCCTGTTAACAGTCGTGTGTTAAAGTAAACTCTTTATTTTTTTTTTTTTTTCCCCATGATTTGGAAATTAGTTACGTATGCACCAAAGGAGCTAGTAATTTCTGCTGCTTGTCAGCTACACACAATGAGTATATTGCTGTGTGCTTTCCCCAACAATGAGGATTTTAGTAATATGCAAGGTGTATAGAACATAATACCAAAACCTGCATCACAGAAAAGGTTAATTGTTTTCTTATTCAGCTGCCAGAGTTTATAACCTCAGGCCCCTCCCCAGAGCCAAAGTAGGGGTGGCCATCCGTTAGGTTATGTAGTTAAACATAGACGTTTTCCTTGTTGGCAAGTTCCAAGCAGTAAGCGAGAGTGCAAACAAGGATCTGTAAGCTGCCACAAAATGTATTCATATTTCTACTCCGTGTTGTAAGAGCCAAAGGGAGGACACGCATGTCAGATGTCGAAAGAACAACTGAATCTTTGTTTTTGATCGTTATGGTCAGTCTGTCATGAGGTCTTGTATCCGAATGCTAAAAATGGCACCACACTTGGGCGTCCCATAGCCTTACACAGTACGTTGGCGCTTCCCTAGCCGCTGAGCACTGGTCTCACAGAGACCCTGACTTGATAAGCAAACAAAATATAGATTCGGGTGCTGAAGAATCCGAGGGAGGGCTTATACAGACAATTAACCCTCGCACCAAAACCTAATTTTATGATTTTACTTAAAGCCACACTGAATCAGTTGTGAGAGGGTGAAGATATAAATACACCTCTCTGCTTCATCCCTAGGAAGGTGGACAACTGACCATTCGAACAGAGGGTCTGGAAACAAAGCTTAGTTGTCCTTTAAACAATGAAAAGGAGAGGCATACATAAATGGTCACCAAGGCACAATATGACAAAGGTGGAGAGTCCCTGAGACTCTGTTCTGGGTCTGTACCATTCCCCTCCCTATACAAGTAAATGAGAACATTTAGGAAAATATAATACAAAATCTCTTACAGGAAATATAGACTACACTTGCTAAAATCACTTCCCTAAAAGTGTTTATAGCTTTTTTCTTTTTTTTTTCTTTTTTTTCTTTTTTTTTTTTTCTTTTTTTTTTTTTTTTTTTTAAAAGACCTTCTTTAAACAGATAATGCAAAGACTGGTCCATTTTTTTCTTACCCGGCAAGCCAAGCTCTAATGACTTCACTAAGCAGAAGTTGTATTAAAATACATCTTCATAGTATTGCTACAATTTGGGTAAATATGTTCTGAACAGCTTGATGAGTACTAAATAAACTTTGCTGTTTTACAGCATACATTTTCATTTTTTTTTGCACTTTTTTAAGAATAGAAAATACAATTATAGTGTGCAAAAGAAAAAAAAAGATTAATTATCCTCTAGCTGAATACTGTAATTTTAAGCCATGCCTTCCATAAAAATGTATTGACATGTGTAAATAGAAGAAAAGAAAAAAAAGATACAAGCAAACAGAGATTTTGTTTCCTTGCAAGGAAAGGTTAACTATCACAAACTGGATCACTTGAGTTCTGCATTCTTCAGACAAAGAAATGAAAAAAAAACCAACCCAAAAAACCACTGAAATGCTTCAAACGTCATCCAGTCCACGATAACAGGTTAAAATTGCAGTGTTGCTTTCTGGTACTCCCGTTAGCATGGATAGAATGATTTGCTGCTGGTTGGATACTGAATACAAAAAAGCAAAAGAAAGTTGAGATCATCCCACATGAAGTCATTATTAGAGCTGGCTTTTCCCCCGTTTTGAAGTACAGTAGTGACTTGTAAATATGACCTTTTCCAAAGATCATCTGAGATTTGAAGATTTATCTGCCTACTTCACCCAAACAACAACTGCTGAAAGAATTTACTCGATAGAGCCTGCTATACAGTGTTCAAAATGTTTGGGATTTCTTTTTCGTGAAAAAATACCACAAAAAGTAGTTTTAGGCTTTTGTATCTCCGAATCACTAACACATCGTAGATTCCATTTATTCTTCCATGTTTGAAATGGTTTCTGCAAAATCAAAATAACTGTCAAACTCCCTTACGCCATGCTTCCAACAGTTCGAATTTAATACTTCTTGAATGGAATGACATAATTTATTTTCTTTAATTTGCAGTATGGCTACATCAAGCTAGCTTTAAGTCACAACTGTACCTAACCACAGTTCTCTGCAGCAAACCCATGATTTACAATATCTAATATTGCGGTTACAGTGCAGGGAACCGTGGGTAAGAAACCTCCATGCCAGAGTACTGTGGTTGGGGTTTCCCGGAAGAGTGGCAGTTGACACCTCTGGAATATTCATATATAAGTGCTTCAGTCAGATGGTCCTGAGTTGGAGGGGTAACTCAGGCACTATGAGAGCCTGGCATTCAGTCTGCGGGAATGTGTGTAACCTCCGTCACTCGAACCGCTTTGCAAACTGTAGTGGTCTTCAGCATCACTGGCGCTTCCAATACTGTCCATTTCACCTGGAGTGAACTCCATTCCTTCAATGTCTACTTCTAAAGAAAACATAAGAAGGCACATTTTCAGAAAGGAAACGGTTGTGGCAAGTAATCATGGGCCAGAAACGCCTGTGTCAATCAGCATTCAGGGGAAACCCGAATCATACTTCATTTTCTGTAATTAAAAAAAAACCCCAACAAAACCTGGAACAGTAATTCCTGAGGAAAGGATCATCTTGTCCACCTGAGAATTAAAATCCCTTCTGTCCTCATCCGCATAAATATACTGCATGACATCAATACCAAATGCTGTCACAGAACCGTTCCAGCCTGTGCCTAGACACTGATCTTAAAAAAAAAAAAAAAACAACCAAAAAAACCCCAACCCCTCACAGGGCACAGTACACACGAAACTGCACACGCATC